CACCTAGCACGTTTCCCCACCAAAATCCCATCGAACTGCTGAGCAACTTCCTAATAGTATAGATCGACTTTTGCTTTCTTTAGCGGTATCATTTCTATAGTAAAGAAACAACATTACACTTCTGATTAAATATGAATTTTTCTATGCCGTCTGTTTTACTATTTGGGCAATGACTTCGGCGACCGTTGTGACTAGACATATCGATGTAAAGTGTACAGCATAATGAGCTATGATTGTTGTCATCCAAAAGCGAACATCGATCGAAATTTCACCTATTTTTATCGGACTATTTCTCTATTCATACTAACATGTATGTGCTAACTTACCTGCCAATCTTTCCTTACAATTTCAATGAATGTCTATATGTCAATACCACGCCGTTTGATCGTTATCAATCCACTTATTATTCCCTCACCTTGGAACAACTCCGTTTCATCTCTAGATCGCCGTTCCGAAAAACCGCCATTTTCCTACATCGCTTTGATCGCGATGGCGATACAGGCTTCACCGTCGAAACGATGCACGCTGAGTGAAATCTATCAATATTTGTACACCCAATTTGCATTCTTCCGCGGGCAATATACAGGATGGAAGAACTCTGTGAGACATAACCTCTCTCTAAACGAGGTGTTTATAAAACTTCCGAAAGGTGAGTACATGAATGCTCACAACTCACTACCTACTTTGAATTGTTGATTCATTTACTTATCAGGTTGCTCAACTTTTTCTAGCACATCTTTATTCTAAATCCGATATCATTAGATCACTGGTGTTATGTATCTGACCCACCATCAGGAATGATGTCACGCCTTAGCTTAGTTGAGCTAGCACCTTAAGGTTTTACTAGATCTGTTCCCCTTTATGTTTAAACAAATATACTCCAATATCCAGATTGTTCATTTCACCCCATCAACCACAATAGAGTAATCGAACTGCCCGTGACTTCACAGCTCGATCAAAGAATTTACAATTTGCTAATTAATGACACAGTTAATATACAAACCAGAGACTGTTATACTGCCGCCCAGAGTAAAACAAAATAGTATGTGGTCTTGGAACCGGTTTCCACCATGTGTATAAATGGAGTAACTTTGCCTTTCCTACTATTTAAAATCAAGCGTTGTGCGCGCATGTGTCTGATTTGTTAAATGGCATTATTTTCAAGAGCCTCCAACACAGTCTTCAGTTTTGCCAGTCGTTGTATGTGTTTATTCTGTTTCCGGTTAATGTTCCACCATTATTCATTATATTCCACGGGTTATAGACTGCCAGATGGATAGTTTTATCTTTAATTTTGCACCTATTTCTGTGTGCGATTCACTGCAGTCCGGGAGACCCTATGATCATGAAAACCGGCAATGTAAGCCCAAGGACTTGGGATAGAGAACCCGTATTAGGCTCCGATAGGTTGGGCGTGGCGTTAAGCCGGGTGACAGCGAAGCTGCCTACCACCGAGTTTGGGTAGTGGTGAAGGGGTTCGAACTTCAAGCGCTAAGGTCCAAAGTACACCTATAACGGCGACTTAAACCACCACAACCCAATATATATACGTATACCTTTATCCAATCTGTAATTTTGTGGTTGAAAGCCCACTTATATCAGATGTACAGGTGTTAATCAAACTAGTGCAACATCAACCTCATTTTTCAAATACATTTCAGTTTCCACTATCACACTTGTATACTGATGGCTAGGGGTGAAGTGTATTTATGCCTAACTTTATCTCCCACTTCTATATTCTTATCTTTCTTCTACCACCGTTTGAATTTGCCCGACCTTTTGCGGTAATAGATTTTGTAGTAGTTCGAAAGTGACCCTCAGATTTGGAAAATATTTTATTCAAAACAGTTTTGAAGTGCATTATTTGTAATAAATGATTCCTGTTTCATGAGTGTTTATTAAGTTGAATACGTATTCTAAATAGCTTATTTTTTTCATCCAATCCACAGTAAATGAAAATTTTCTAGTTTAAATAAACTGATGAATTATCTGGCTACAAACTACTCACTTATTATTCCTAATACTGAAAGAACTAAAGTATGCATTCCAAGAGAAATAAAGTTGACTGTCAAACATTGACCTTGACGTGTACGGCTCGTTGAATGAGCGTATTGTTGTGTCACCATACCCAAACCGGATGAAACATTCAAAATTATTGGTATATAATTGCAGCCGAGAGGCGACTTAATCAAGAGACCCATAAATTTGATGACTCAGTTCTTGTTTAGTATAACTGCTTCGTTGTGAGTAAATTTGATGCACAATCAGCGGAATTTCTTGATCAAGACCAAGAGGGAGAAAACCGATCACATGAATGCAAGAAGATGGTTGAATTTGATCACAACGGAGAAAAGATGCACACAACGAATATGCAGAATATTTCAGGCGGATTAGTAGTTTTTTCATCACGTCGTTTGTAAAATGATGGCTCAATTTGAAATTCAGCTGAGGCCCCGTGATATGAAGCCCTTATGGAACACCCAACAGAGCATATTGGTTTTACCAACAAACTCAAATTGCGTCTCCTGTCCGTTTGGCGATGAGTTTATCTCATCGGTGGCCAACGAGCAATTTAGCAGGCGGAGAAAGCTGATCTACTGACCTAGTTTTTCAATGAATTTCGTTTTGCCTTTCAAAAGAAGCAAATATCCATCCGGTATAACGAGTTGAAAGGGAATTCAATACCGAGTCCCTCTCTTTCAGTCTCCCGCATGTGCCACTTCTAATATGGTGTGATTTATTTCAGTATCGAGGCAAGTTTTGGATAACTGTCACTCTCAAAATGCACTCGCGGAAGTCATGTTTTTCACAGATAAAAGTTATTAAATCTTCTCGCCTGAGGTTGGTAGTATAAAACGATTTGATCTCACTGAAAATTTTTTTCACATTAATGCAGTTTCTTGAGGAGTGAATTCCAAGGTCGAATTTATTCAATGACCACTCAGCAGTTAGGATTTGAATGTCATCAAAAACTTTGCCTTGTGTTAGAAACAGGGATAAGCTCGCTGCTTCGACAGTGGTTGCCAGTGGTTAGGACGTGGCATGTATCAGATCAAACTGGCGAAATTCTACTGGACAGTCAACTTGATGGAATCCATGCAAACGCTTCCAGTGCTTCCAGTGCTCACAAATGAAGATGGATAAATAAAACATGGACAAGATCAAAGTACAATACCTGTATCGAGTCTATGGGTCATTTTGGATAAATAAATTCTATTTGTTTTCCCTACTATGGCTTTGATATCCTACAACTGATACATCAGTGACCGTTGTCCAAATCCAGAAAGCATACACTTTAATGGTATTCGACTGATAAATGCAAAGGCATCAGTGGTTATTATATGTGATATGTTGCGTCTGATGTGAGAAAATAGCATATTCAATCCCCATGAATTGGACTCGGAACACTAACGGGTGGAAGGAACAAATGCAATGAAAGTCACGGTGTTATACGAGTTTGATCAATACCTGTAGATTTATGTGGTGCTGATTATTCATCACTTGACACGGGGACTGCATCGGGTATTGCACATTCGTTCCTCAATCAATCAGATGTGAGCGTCAATACTTAGTCGTCCGTAGGATGTTAGTTAGATGCATTTGAACCCGGCGACAATTGAAAAAACGCATTCTTTCTACTTAAGAGAAGATGCATTGTAATCAATCAATCATCGTAAAATATATCAGGGATTCTATTCCTTGATCTCGATAATTTTTTAGCTCGTGGAATTCGGGGGAATTCCAGGGACTTGCTTGATAGAACAAAGTAGATTCACAACTCAACTTTTACAAACTGAAAAATTTCATTATTTCATTAACACTATACAACAGATTGAGGATTAGAGGCACGAGCCTATGTCTCTGTCGATGCTGTTTTCACGGAGAAATTGACTTCTAAGAACACAGATCGTGTTATTGGTGAACTTGCCTTACCGTTCACATTGATTGTTCTGTTGCTGGAGTAGTGTAGATGTTATAAAACCAAATGCTGATTCTAATTTGAGCAAGGTAAAATTTTTGTGTCGAGTATATAAAGTTGATTTGTGCTTCGTGATGTTTGGACAAATGATTCAAATCTGTGTGTGTTAGACCTCCGGTTCGGGAAGTCTTAAAACCTTCCGGACTGATGTCCGATGATTCCTATCCCTTCGGTTCACATTTTCTGTGACGTTAGTTGTTGTTCTCAAGTTAATGAACAATTTAATGAAAGCAGTTTGAATTGTTGTGGCTTTTGTGCTACAGACCAAGGTTAGAGCTCTCTTTCATTGTCATGCAACTTTCATCCTCGACAGCTTGACTTTCGTCCAGCCCTGTCTTACCAAGGCCCTTCGTTTCAAGTATCACGATCTATGGTAACCGATTTCCTTAGCTGAAAAATCAGGTCCTGTAAAGCCTTCCCCGCTCTTGACAGCAGTGTGTCAAGTAAAGTGATGATCATAAATGGAATGGTAGTTAAAACATACTGGGTAATCGTCGGACAGAAGAGAAAGAGACTCTTCAACTCGTATAACGACAGAGACAAATGTGGCGAATCCCCAAAGCTTCTCCTCCGCGGCCCGACTCGTTAGCACATATAATCAGTCCGGTTGAAGTTTCAAGGGAAAGTGTTTGAAAGTTTCCTAGGTCCTAGATCTCTGGGATGATGGATGATAACTGTTCAGGATATGGAATAAGGTACTAAGGAACCGCTAGAGTTACAGTGGTTGGTCACTGGTTGGTCCCACGACGGTTGAAAGGTAGCTCAATTGTTTTTTTTTTCTAAATCTCTTACCAGTTTGAAATGCAGTGAATGCACAGGATTTATACTTTTCCGGTGTGTTTGTGTCTCTGTGCGTGTGTGTGTGACGAGGATAAATGACACAATTACCACACTTTAAAAGCTGTTCCGGTCAGTTTTACAGTTCCTGTAAATCCAGAATCTTTTCATGCACTGATTCGATTTGATGGTAGTGAAAGTGTCCATGGTTAGACGACTGAATTGAAAAGATCAATCTAACCTAGACGGAACAGTGATTAATGGTTATTTTCATGTTCTCATGAGTACAAGTGTTCCAGGGATTCGGTTCTACCTGTTTTGTACGTGTGTGTATGCATGCGCACGTGCGCTTGTTCCTGTCGAACTTTTTCCTCACTCTGTGTTTGGTTGGCCTTCTGTTTTTGACGGTGAAGTGTGTTCCTCACTATATAGAATAGTCCACACGACAGATACTATATAGTCAGTCCACATGCTCGTGCGCACATACACACACACACACACACACGCACACGTGGTCATCTAGGTCTCATGTCTTCGCTCTATACTCTCCCTCTCTCCCTCCACGCTGCTGCCTGTTCCATGCATAGTTCGGCAGTTCGAAGAAATGATGCACTTGTGAAAGTGGCATAGAAAGTGGTTCTCCCCTTATAAGTCTAGAACGGATACAGGAAGTTTGCAATGTTCTCTCTGATGCTTGCAACTACACCCAACCACCCCTCCTACGAGTGTGTGTCGAACCAAAAACGATATAAGCGCTCAGAGGTGGTATATTGCCAGCTACGTGTACCAGTGTTTGCGGCTGCCTGCCTGTATGCATGCGTGCGTGCCGAGAACCGGAAGTCGTTAGCACACATACAAAGCGTGAACATGACAACAGCTACCGTTCTCCGACTGAGCCCACATTTGTCAACCAATCGGGTAGCCACCCCTCGACACAAAT